GTATTGTTGAATGCCAAAAATATTGCTCTGACTGAAAGCCATATTCTACCTTCATGTGATAAAAACATATTGATGATGCCCTCTATTTTTGAAGCCACCAGAGAACCCCAAGGTGGTAAAATTTGTCTGAATTTGTCACACTCAATATGCCTAGTATAAAATTTTCCACCTCAATTACAAAGGTAAGGTACTGAAGTGTAAGTGCGATACTAAAATAACAAGTATTCAATTCTGTGACAATTTTTTTTTTCAAATAGTACATATCATTTTATTTTATTTTATTTTACTTATTTTTTTATTAATTTGTTTTTGTTACAAATGTTTCTCCTTTTTTTCCTATTGACACCTTCCTCCCCATTCCCCCACCCCATTCCCAGCTTTGTTGTCTATGTTCATTGGTCATTCATACATACATATAAGTTCTGTGGTTTATCTCTTTCCTCCCCCAACACCCCCTCCTCTGAGGTTTGTCAGTCTGTATCCCACCTCTATGTCTCTGGGTCAATTTTGTTCATCAGTTTGTTAGTTAATTATATTCCACAAATACGTGAGATCGTGTGATATTTGTCTTTCTCTGCTTGGCTTGTTTCACTTAGTGTAATACTCTCCAGGTCCTTCCATGCCATCTCAAAGGATAAGAGATCTTTCTTCCTTACATCTGCATAGTATTCCATTGTGTATATGTATCACAGCTTTTAATTCACTCATCTACTGATGAACACTTGGGTTGTTTCCAGATCTTAGCTATTGTAAATAGTGCTGCTATGAACATAGGGGAACATATGTTCTTTCTGATTGGTGTTTCAGGTTTCTTAGGGTATATTTCTAGAAGTGGAATCACTGGGTCAAATGGCAGTTCAATTTTTAACTTTCTGAGGTAACACCATAGTGTTTTCCACAGTGGCTTCACCAGTCTGCATTCTTACCAGCAGTGTACTAGAGTCCCCTTTTCTCCACATCCTCGCAAACACTTGATGTTTGATAATTTGTTGATGGTTGCCATTCTGACGGGTGTGAGGTGATACCTCATAGTTGTTTTAATTTTCATTTCTCTGATAATTAGTGACATTGAGCATTTTTTCATATGTCTCTTGGCCATTTGTATGTCATGTTTAGAGATGTGTCTATTTGGGTACTCTGCCCATTTTTTAAATGGGTGCTTTTTCTTCCTTTTGTTGAGTTGCATGAGTACTCTGTATATTTTGTTGAGTTGCATGAGTACTCCATATATTTTGAGTACTTTGAAAATTAACCCCTTATCTGATGCATCATTGGCAATTATGGTCTCCCATATAGTGGGTTCCTTTTCCATTTTGATGATTGTTTCTTTCACTGTGCAGAAGCTTTTTAGTTTGACGTAGTCCACTGTGTTTATTTATTTAATTAATTTGTTTCTCTTGCCTTAGGTATTGTATCAGTAAAAATTCTGATGTATATGATGTCTGAAATTTTGTTGCCTGCATTTTCTTCTATAATTTTTATGGATTCATGAGTTACATTTAAGTCTTTCATCCATTTTGAGTTTATTTTTGTGTATGGTGTAAGTTGGTGGTCTAAGTTAATTTTTTTGCAAGTAACTTTCCAATTTTCTCAACACCATATATTGAAGAGATTGTCTTGACACCACTGTATGCTCTTGTCACCTTTCTAAAATAATTGAACATATTGTCTTGAGTCAATTTCTGGGTTCTGTTTTCTGTTCCATTGATCTATCTGCCTGTTCTTGTGCCAATATCAGGCTGTTTTGATTACAGTGGCTTTGTAGTATAACCTAATATCTGGTGATGTGATCCCTCCTACTTTGTTCTTCTTTTTCAAGATTGCTGTGGCTATTCGGGGTCGTTTTTGGTTCCATATAAACTTTTGGATTATTTGTTCTAGTTCTGTGAAATATTTGTTGTTGTTTTGATGGGGATTGCATTGAATCTATAGCTTGCTTTGGATAATATGGACATTTTAATGATGTTAATTCTTCCAATCCTTTATCAAGGTATGTGTTCCACTTTTTTATATCTTTATCTATTTCTTTTTTCAATGACTTGTAGTTTTCTGTGCAGAGGTCCTTTACTGCTTTGGTTAAGTTTATTTCTAGGTGTTTTAATTTTTTTGCTGTGATGGTAAATGGGATTGTTTTTTAGTTTCTGTTTCTGTGAATTCAAAATTGGTGTACAAGAATGCCATTGATTTCTTGATGTAAAAGCTGATGGCTAGAAGTTATTGTTCAAAGGTAGCAATATAGTGTATAATTTTGGTCAAAAGCAATAAACACATTTTTTCAATAAATCCATTTTTATAATCCTTACTTGTTTGGTGGTATCCATGTCAAAATGACGTTTCATATCAATTGCCTAGATGTTTTGGCTCTAAAGTGTCAAAACACTAAAGGTACCTCAGTTTTGGACTGAATTAGCCTTTTCTTTGTATAGGATTTGCAATGGTCAAGTAATATCTATAAAACCTCTACATATGCCTTCTCATTTTCCTACTGAGACAAAATATATATGTGGGTTTCATACTGGTTCTCACAAGATCACCTTAAGTAACAGAATAGTGCTACCTTAAGATGAACAAAATGTCTGGGGTTTTAAAATCTTATTTATTCTGATAGATCTTTTCTTTCACTTGTGCATATATTTTGACATGAGAGAAAAAAAGCAATCATTACCACATGAGTGAGAAAAATGAATAGCAATAGTAATTAATAGCCTTATAGAGAATGTTCTTTATATATTTTTTACTATTTCTGTCCAAGTAGGAAAAATAGCATTACCCTAGGAGAACATAGCTCTTGGCCTCTAGATCCCTTTTGGCATTTGGTGGCTTGTATTACATGTTTTGAAGGGAAAAGATAGGGGGCCATACATTTTTCTTAATTGCTGTGTAGTCACAAGCTTGCAGCTGGCTGTGTCTAATCTATCAATAAACCAAACCAATAATTCCATGCAAATAGAATATCTAAAAGTGTAAACTTTTGGTGAATATAAAATTAATTAAGTCTAGAAAAATAAGCAGGTCAGTAGAAGTCAGGTCAGTAAAGGAAATTCTAGAGGAAAGTAAACCTAAAGCCCAAATGTATGTGGATTTTAGCAGAATTTCTTGCTTTCTACTTTGTCCTTAATGGAGAGGTCTATATTTCAATATATAGATCTAGATGCTCCTACTGAGATATGAAAATAAAGAATTAAAGGGAAGTAGATTCCTCTCTGCTTGCTCTGATGCAAGGTTATGTGAAGAGTCAGTTTCACATCTTGTTTGAATCTTGAGCTATTGGGATTTCAACATATTAGGGCTAGGTATAGTTGACTGTTAACTTGGGACTTCATGATAGTCTCGTCTTGTTAAAATTAATGTAAGGCTAAAGCAATTAGTGATCTTTAGCTTATCAAAGACCATTAAGTGCAGAGTGTGTGAAAGTACTTAAGATGAACTTTTATTGGCAAGCAAAAGTGAAGCAAAGCATGACATGGTAGAAAGAACACAAGACTAGCAAATGTAACACTTACATACTTCTTCCAGTCCTTACATCCCTCCTTAGGTCTCTGTTTCCTCATTATAAAAGGAGGGTGTTGGAGTTGGGAGTGGGATCTGGCCTACACAGTATCAAATATAACTGTTAGCTCTGAACTGCTATAATTCTTTAAAAAAAAGGTATATTCAGAATATAATGAACATAACAGTCTGAGGAATACAGTAGACCCAGACACATGGAAGTGGGGCACAGACTGACATCCCTCAGAAGAGGGGATGGGGGGTGGGGGGGTGGGAAGGGATAAACCACAGAACTTATATGCATGTATGCATGACCAATGGACATGGACAACTAAGCCGGGGACAGGGTGGAGGGGGGGTGGGGTGGGGGCTGCCAATGGGGTAAAAAGGTAAAATATCTGTAACAAAAAAATAAATAAATAAAAATTTAAAAAAAAAAAAAAGGTATATTTGGGGATATGGAGAAAAATATGAGAAACTTGTTGATTTATTATTTCTTCATGTGAAATAAGTCTGCAGGTTCAGTTGAATATAAAGGTGTTCGATATTTTTTAAGTTCTCACCTGAGGGGGCATGCTTAGAGAGAGGAAGGGGGAGGAGAGAGAGAGAGAGAGAGAGAGAGAGAGAGAGAAACATCTATATGAGAGAGAAACATCAATTGGTTGCCCTCCTTCTGCTCCCCGACTGGGAATCAAACCCAAAACCCAGGCATGTGTTCTGACTGGGAATTGAACCTGAAACCTTTCGATGCATAGAATTATGCTCAACCAACTAAGCCACTCTGGTCAAGCAATGGTGTTCAATTTTAAAGGTTATCACAGAGTGCAGATAACTGTTCCTTTGGTCATTAAACTCTGCTCTTCCTAGCACTCTGTTACCAAACTTACGTGTACAAGTTAACAAAATCAAGGAATAGGGAATTTGGCCTATTTAAGTATTAGAGTAATAAGTCATGGGCAGATGATCTACTAACTCTCTACCATTGTATTACATTCTGGGATACCTTCTGCCTTTACTCTTGCCTGCACAAAGAAGGATGTCTTTTGAGATGGTATAACAAAAGCATCCAGGCCTGAAAATCAGAAGGGTGGGATTCTGTCCTAGTTCTGCAATTGATTTCTTTCAAAATGCTAGATTTTTATTTTATTTTTTATTTTGTCTATAAAATAAAATGAGGGTTCCAAATTAAATTATGACTACTGGTTGTTTATTCTTTTTGCCCTTCTAAATCTATGATTCTAGTCCTCTCTAAGAGATGGAAGTACCTGCAAACTTTAACTTTCTTCTGTAGTATATGAATTAAAACATAGTAGCAACCCTGGCTTTAAAAGTGCCGGAGGACAGGGAAAATTAATCTATGTCGTGTTTACAGAGTTCAAATCATATAGTTTCTTCCTTTGGAATAAAAAAAACAAGACAGATAAACACAGTATCTATACCATAGTTTAGTACTCTGTCTAAATTATGAGAATTTTGTTCACAATCTTTATTTTTTCCTAATTATTTCACAGAGAGGAAGTCATGCCAGTATAAGCTTTCAGATCACCTCAGAGATCCAAAGTGGAAAGTCTCCAGGGCTCTCCTTTTCTTCAGGGAGTCTAACTCCAGCTACCTATGAAAACGCCAATGCAGTGATTTATGAGGTAGGATATTAATAGCTATCTAATCTGTTGCCTTCCGGAGTTTTAAAATGAAAAAGTGACTTAGGATTTATTCTGTGGGCAAAAATATTGAGATTTTTGGTAAATCTTTTCAGTTTTTTGTCTGTTGTTCCCTTATAGATTTGTTTGGTTGACATTTTTGACCATGGTTTTCCTCAGCAACTAACTGACTGACTTACAACTTCATTGATTTTTCAACTCCATGTATTTACTATGTGTATGAACAGGGCTGTGAGACCCAAACACTTAACCATGTAACTCCTTCCAAAAAATATAAGTATGACTAATCTATATCTAATAGAAATGAATTTCTAAGTCAACTGTTTGTGATGGAATGTCTAGATAAATGTTTGTGTTGAGGAGGGTTTGGGGCTAACCTTTCTCTTCAAATGCTAGTTGTTCTTCCTATACCTGTTATCCTCTGATGTTATTAAAATAATAATTTTAAAAATAATTTACTTATTTTTTAAAATTATTTATTTATTATTTTTTAAGCCTGTACTGTTGGAGTAAAAGGTTACCTTCTGCTGTTAAATAGAAATCTTTTTTATTTCACTTAAGTTCTGTCTTACAAGCTTTAAGAGGCCACCTCTGACCCCTTGTTCTAAGATACTGGAATTTGGAAACCAGATCAAATCCTGCATCAGTTGGGGAGATGAACTGTTTCTTCTCAGCAGGAGAGAGTTAAGCAGGGTGTAAAAGGGGAATGAGACTGCCTTTCTGTCCCTCTTAAGTGAGGCCTTCCCAGTGTGGTTTCCTTGTTTTGTTTGAAGGTACTCCCAAAAGCATCAAACACTCTCAACTTCAATAGTAGCTACAAAGAAAGTAAAAAACAGGACAGAATGTGTTTTTTAATTGTCTACCACATTGGGTTTTCCAAGTGAACTCCCCCCTCCATTGGATAAATTATTGACAGGGGCCCAAAACACCAAAATTGGCATGGTATATATTTGTTCAGTGTAGCTGAGTACTTTGACTTAAATTTGTCCAGGAAACCTCTGGTTCTTGCCTTGTACTTAATTCAATTTGCTTTAAGTATAAACTTCAGGTATTGGGTAATTGACGGTTCTACTCTTTCAAAGACTACAGACAAGATAATCACATAGCTTTTGAATGTCAAATGGAATGAGCTGATGCTTTATACGTGTATTGACACCTCCAATATTATGAAGTAAATCTCAGTTACCTAAGCAGTATCTTGTTTTTTTATTTGTAAAATGAGGGGTTGAACTAAAGTCTTTATCTTGGTTGTTCACTAAAATCTCTGTAGCAACCTTAAAAAAAATACCTATACACAGGATCCACTCCTAATAACTGGTTCATTTGATATGAGGTGTGTCTAGGCATTGGTGGTTTTTAAAATTTCCTCTATATGTGCAACCAGGGTTCAGACTTGCTGGACGAAGAGACTTCTAAGGCATTTTCTGTTTTGGATATGCTATGATTCTCTGCTTCCATGGAAGAATAAATGTGTTGAATTGTGGTATGTTTTATTTGGTGGAGTTGAAATTTATAGTGTAGAATTGAAAAGGGAAAAAAGTAAACATTTGTATGTAATTGGCCTTTAAGGATCTGTCACAGCCCTGGCCGGTTTGGCTCAGCGGTTAGAACATCGGCTTGCGGTCCAGAGAGATCCGGGTTCAGTTCCCGCTAAGCACACGTACCTGGGTTGCAGTTTGTTCCTGGCCCTGGCTGGGTCATGTGGTGGCAACCACTCAAGGTGTCCCTTTTACATCAATGTTGTGCTCTCTCTCTCTCTCTCTCTCTCTCTCTCTCTCTCTCTCTCTCCCTCCCTCTCTCTCCCCCCCTCTCCCTCTCCCTCTCCCTCTCTCTCCCTCCCATTCTATCTGAACAAAAAAATGGAAAAATGTCCTCGGGTGAGAATTAAAAAAAAAAAAAAGAATTTGTCACATATTTCTTCATTTGGAAAGGAGGCAGAAAGTTTAGTTAGTTCCAGTAATGACTGTTGGTCAGTCAAATGATGAGTATTTCTGAACTGTGTAGGCCAAAGGGGGCCTTCATCTGCACCAAAGGAGTGTGTTAGTGAGAATAGTGAGAATAATACCACACAATGAAGTCAATATTAAGCTAATGGTGGACTGCAAAGGAAGACAGCTGAAACTATAAAACTGCCTGTCTAGTGCTAAAGAGGACTCTGAGAGGGACTAGTGCTAAAGCGGACTCTGAGAGGAAGACTAAGTTAATTGAATCAACAGATCAAACAGTGAGGTCCAGTGTGCTTTCTGAAATGGTTCTCTATTAGGAGTGTTTTTTCTTAATTCATCTTTATTGTTGAAAGTGTTATAGAGGTCCCCTCCTTGCTCCAGCCCCCCACCCCTGCTTCACAACACTATTGTCTGTGTCCATTGGTAATGTGTGTGTGTGTGTATATATATATATATATATATATATATATATATATTCTTTGGTTTATCTCTTTCTGCCCCCCCCCCCCAATTAGGAGTGTTGCTAGTTTCTGCTTAAAATAAATCAAAGTTTCATGAAGATTGCTATTGAAGATCTGGAAAATGTGCCTAGAGTGACAGACACCTAATAGGAAAAGACAGGCTTCTCTAAAGATATGCCATAACATTTTAGTACATTGACACAAATTCATACTTTGATTGTATGCATACCCTTCAGAATTGTGCATAAAAATCAGCTCTTAATTCATAGATAATCTTGGAGATGTGGAAGGAGAGACAGATGAGCAGACCTCTAGGGATAAAAAATTGTAAATGACAAATACAGTAGGAACATGTCATGATCTGCTCTAGTAGCTACAATCTAGGGGAGAGGGTTGAGATAGGCATTAGTACAACCCTGGCACACACAGTGAAACCCACTGAAATTATCATCCTTCTCCATTCTCTGACTCTATCTGCCTCTCAAGCCCTCTCCCTTCATTTTCTTCTTTATCTCATTTTGCTCTTTCTCTCTTCACACCCTCCCCATTCATCTCCATTTCCCAGAGCCTTTTTTTCTATCCTCTTGCCTTCTGTTCCTTATAGCTTTCTCTCCTCTCCTCTCCTTTCCATGAAACATGTCTCTCTCTCTCTCATCATAGAATCAGATCATCAAAGCTGAAAAGGACCTAATAAATGATCTAAGTTATCCAGTTGTATCAGTGAGGAAACTGAGGCTCAGGCTGATTAAGTGGCTGTCCTAAAGCCACCCCTGAATTTGAGGCAGAACCAGGTCTAGGACCTACTTCTCTTGACTCTTAGTTAATACACCATAGCCTTAGTTCAAAACTAATGGACTTTAATTTACTTCTAAAACCTTTAGTGAACAGAGTTTGAGGTTTCTTCCTCTTAATTAAAAAGTGAATGATTAGTGAAGTATTTTATTATGCTTTCTCTTAAAAGAAAACAAAACAAAACAAATAGGGCATGTGTGGTAAAGATAAAACCTGCCCATTTCCTCCTCTTTCCTCATTATTTGTGAAGTAGGACACACATAGACTCAATAAAAATTTTCTTATAAAGTTTGTGAGAATTATTTAAATCTTAAAACAAACACACACAAATCCCCCAAACCAAAGACAGCCCATGAAATTAAGAGCAACAAAGTGAGAAATGGAAGAACTTGGTTCTGTTACTACCTAGCTTTCTGACCTTGGGCAAGTCATTTAATTTATTTGGGATTCAGTTTCTCTATCATCATATGAAGGATTGGCCTAGGAATACCTAAAATCCTTTCCAGTTTTCAAATTTAACAAATCGTCAGGGGAAACAAAGCTCTGCTTCACTACCTGTAAAAGCTAACAAGCCAGAGTGAACGCTAACCCATGTCTATAACACTGTTGACTCCAGGAAGCAGGTATCAGGCACTAAGTATAGGCAGAATGAGGTCTACTAGTATTGATGTTCAGGTTGTGCCTTACACAAGGGCACCATATCTCAGATGGTACTATTCACATTGTAAATATATACTAACTTATATGAGAGGGGTGCAAGTGTGAACAAAAAGATTCTGCCCTTCCAACCTAGTTCTGGAATGAGGTATCAGGGACACCTTCTCATATCTACAGTTATACTAGCACACTGGACCATGCACATACATAGTTACTGGTAAGCATATATGTACCTGGCTATGTGCTATCTTGACTATACCCCAGAAGTTTCTTCCCGCCCCCAAGGCAAGTAAATGCTTTATTACAGTTCAGAAGATGATATTTTCCAAAGACAAAGTTGAATATATTCTAGTCACTCTTCCTCCAGCCAGGATGGCATTACAAGTTGTCATACTTCATTGTACATAGTTTTTGACTATTCTTGACTCAAAGCCTGTCAATTTCTGAGCATAAGTTGATACTTTCTGATTGATCATTTCCTCACTTCTGAAAGTACTTTAAATAGACCTAACTATTTAAAGTTGAACTCAAATTTTCCTCACTCCTTTCTCCTACCTAATATTCTTAGAGATACAATTTTAGCTTATCAACTGTACCTCTACAGCCTGACTCTGAACCTGTAAAAGATGCCTCACCTGGCAGGCAGGGCTTTGTGGTATGCAGAGTGTTCATGCAACTGGTGGAATGTGTTCCCTGGTGTCTGAAACATATATGAGTAAATGAGAATGTGGTATATCCATATATGTTTACAGTTGTGGCAAATGCCCAACATCACAGGACTGCCATAGGCCGTAATATAACTTTTTTTTTTTTTTTACTTGAGGGAAAGCACCTTTTTCTAATTAGCACAAAGGCGCCATGGTAGCTAGGTGTGACCATGGGTCAAGTAATATAGTTGAGTTGCAGAGGTTCTGGAAAGGCTTTATTGCCCACTGGCATATTCAACACATTGGCTGATTTTGTGAATTCCCATTTCAGCTTAAGCTTTGACCCCTCTAAAGCCTAAAGTCCTCAGAAGGTTAAAACTTCAAGCTCATGTCAGGCCCTCATGAATTCTATGATTAAGTAGGTGTTGGGTGGAGCCTGAGAATTGGCCCTTCTAACTAGTTCCCAGGTGACCATGATACTGCACTGGGGCCACACTTGAAGAATTGCTGGGCACAAGACCAGAAAGGCTTCATTTGGTGCTTTGATAGTTCTGCTGCTGCAAACTACCAATTCTGGACTACCTTTCTCAACTCTGTGGGCATTGAGCCTGGCTGGCACAGTTTTGATCAGCTGCTGAAGGCCTCTAAGAGGCACTCCCTAGTTAAAGGGTTTTCAGCTCCCTGACTAGAAGATGCCCTCTAACACAAAGTATGGGTGAGTAATTCAGATGCCTGCAGCTCCCATTGTTAGCCTTTGCCTCTGGCATGTCTCCAGATGCAATACCACACCTGGATATTCCTTAATAAGAGAATGGTTACACTCTCTTAGTTTCAGAATTTGACTGCACAGAGCTCTCTGCTTATTACCTCTACTTAATGACAAATTGATGCAGCCTGAAATGAAATCTTGAGGCTACAGGTAATAGATGTGAAAGCACTTTGAAGAGTAGAAAGCACTATGCAAATGTAAGACATTATTATTATTATGGAGAAGAAGGAATCTATATATGTATTGCTTTTTTAAAATATGGGTTGCAGAGAAACTAGATAGGGTTTGATGACTGATAAATCCTTGAGGCTATGCATGTAGGAGAAAATTATCTATCAGGCACCAGTGTTAAAGTGAAGGCAATAATATAATTGTTTTTGACTTGACAGCAACTTTAGAAATTGCTGTTTTGTACTTAAAAAGTCAGAAATAGACTTTTGAAATAGTCTAGGTTGCTCATATTACTATGGTAATACATTTGTGCATCCAAATAAAAAATGTTTAATCTATACTTAAACCAATCTGTTTATGATTAAAACATAAGAAGCCCCCGAAATGGCCTGTCTCACAAAAGAAAAATGGATCAAGGTAAATGCAGGAAATATTTGCCACACTACATTCTGCCACAAATGCCTCAAGGCAGTGAGAATTGCAACTGCCAACCATGACCATTAATTACAGGGAACCTGGTGCTACATCACTTAGCTATGGATAAGTGAAATTACCTAGCACTTTCTACAGTTAGTGAAGGGAGTTGTTTCAGAGAGTGATATCATTTCTTTCTGGGGGTCTGCATACCTTCAATTGTTTTTCTGTCTCTAGTTAATTGGAATTTTTAACTTCTCTGTATAACCTCATTTTTAGCTCAGAATACAGAATGCCCACAAGATGGAGGATGAGAGAGGAGGAACAAAGCATTTTTGGGTGGGTTAATGGTCTAACTATAAACCCTTCATGTGAAAGGGACATTTGCTCTATCCTCTAAAGTAACTAAGTCTCATCATCATTCTCTACCTTTTTTAAATAGGGTGATTATGTGTGACTGAAAAAGTCCCCCTCTGGAGATTTTGGAGATGTTAAGTACATCAAATCAAGTGCAAGTGATATGTTTGAAATGGCATAAGTAACCTTCTTTTATATAGATTCTCATTAAAACCAATCCTTTCTTGGCTTGAAGATGGCAGCAGGCGGGACTGGAGGGAGAGTGAGTGTGTGAGAGAGTGTGAGTAGACGTGAAGGTGGATGACCAAACTCAAGCAGCGCAGAGCCTCAGAGCAGAAAGTTCCTTGGCCGTGGGCAAGAGCAGCCAGCTACCGCGGTAAGCAGCTCTTCAGGGCACATCTCCCTGTGCCATGGGGAGGTCCCACAATTTTGGAAGATCCTGGGTCTTCCCAGGGAGGAGGCAGAGGGAGCGGCTAGGGCCCAGCAACCTGACCCCACCAGCGCATGTGGCACCATCAGACCAGTGGACACTCTGTGTCAACACAGAACAGTGTACAGTAGTGGAGCTCCCAAGGTGCTAGTCAGGGAAGCCATGGACAGCTGGGAGCCCAGCACCATCCCCATAGTAGCAGCCCAATCAGAATCCAGGTATACCCACAGCAACAGAGGCTGCGGAGCAGACATCCATCCCCAGGCAACAGAAGCACAGACCAGCAGCTGAGACCCATCCCCAAAAACTACAGCAAAAGCTGGGCAGGAGTTGAGCCCCATGGGGCAGCCGCATTACCCAGCCACCAGCAGTGGGACCTGGGGCTTATGGGACCTACTGGGTGCTGGGGTACCAGAGGAGCCTGTGCGACCCAGTAGCATACAACAGCAGTGGGAAGCCAGAGCCCAAGAGGAACTGCTGTGATCCAGCTGCCTGCCCATGGGACCTGCAGGATGAAGGAGCACAAGAGGCCTGTCTGTGCACACCAGCAAGGACTGTGTGATCCAGTTACCCACAGGACCTGCGGGGTGCTGAGCACCAGAGAGGCCTGTGTGACACACAGCCCATAACATAGGCATAGAGCCAGGTCCCCAAAGGGACTGTGTGATCCATTTACCCATGGGACCTGCAGAGTGCTACAGTACCAAAGAGGCCTGTGTGACCCAGCTGTACACAAGATAGGCCTGGAGGATATGAAAATGGAGGCAGAGTGAATGGAAGCTACACAGACAATTTCCCAGGACCAAACAGGAATTAAAAATAAATAAAGACAAATCCTCAGAAAAAAGCAACAGTAAAGCAGCAGGACAGGACCATATAACCAGGGACACTGGTAGGATCTGTGGAGGTGTGAGAGGGTGGTGGGCAGGGAGCACACGGACAGCAACAGTCTTAGTTATGAGCAGCGCCCTTGGGGAATAAAGACCAAGCCCGCTTCACAGCGCAGAGAACCAGGACAGAGCTCTAAAATAGCCATGACACAAACCTGGGGGCTAAGGCAGAGGGCTAGCAGCCTGAGCTGGAACTCTGTGAGGACACCCGAGATTTTGAAGGCACACAGAGTTTTTGCTGAGTTGCGCCACAAAAGACAGTGGCCAGTGTGCTCCTCTCAGAGCTGTGAGAAACAGCAGCAGCCCCCCTCCCTCGGAGACTCAGCCTTTCCCAGGTGAGGCACACAAATGAAAATTGAGGCTCATTAACAACCAGCATCTATCCCACCCTCTGGAAATCCTTTTATGCAGAACACCAGGGCTACATTCCAAGGCACTGAATAACTGAGACTACTAGCCTCCAGGAAAAAGCTAGAGGATAACTGAACCTTTCCTGGGCATGCAAATCTACCCAGGAAAGTAAGAAATGACAGTGGTGTTTCACGTGGGCCCACCCTGGCTCATCCAAACCCACTAAACGGAGCCACAAACAGCAGAACATCATCACCCACAGGGAAAATTTAGAAGGCTCCATAACCCACTGAGATAGCCAAAATGGTGAAACAAAGAAACAAATCACAAATGAAAGAACAAGAGAACTCTATCAAAGATGAGATTAATGAAATGCAGCTAAGCAAATTATCAGAAGTACAGTTTAGAGCAATGATCATGATGAAGCTCAACAGCATGAGTAAGGTCGTCAGCACCGTGAGTAAAGATATAGAAATGTTGAAAACCAACCAAGTGGAAATGAAAAATGATATAGCAGAAATTAAGAACACATTGGAAGGAATAACCAGCAAAGTAAAGGAAGCTGAGGACTGGATCATTGAATTAGAAGACAGGGTAGAAAAAAATCAACCAATCAGTAAACCAAAGGAAAAAAACAATTAAAAAACAGGAAGATAGCTTAAGAGAACTGTGGGACAACTGGAAACATAATAACATTCAAATCATAGGATTCCCAAAGAGGAAGAAAATGGGCAAGGGTTACAGAATATATTTGAAGAAATAGTGACAGAAAACTTTCCTAACTTGGTGAAAAAGAAGGCATTCAAGTTCAAGAAGCACAGAGAATAGAAAGTAGAAAGAACTCAAACAAGCCCACAACAAGACACATAGTAATCAAACTGCCAAAAATTAAAGACAAAGAGAGAATCCTAAAGACAGCAAGAGATAAGCAACAGGTAACCTTCAAAGGAAACCCCATAAGGCTCTCAGCTGACTTCTCAAAAGAAACACGACAGGCCAGAAGGGAGTGGCATGAAATAATCAAGGTAATGAAAAACAAGGATCTGAATCCAAGACTACTCTACCCAGCAAGGCTATCATTCAAAACAGAAGGTCAAATAAAGAGCATTCCAAACAAAAAAAAGGCAAAGGGAATATATTAACACTAAACCAGCACTGCAAGATATGCTAAAAGAACTGCTATAATTAGAAGAAACAGGGAGAAATATAGAACCACAGTAAACAAAAATGGCAATAAATAAGTACATATCAATTATCACCTTACATGTGAATGGTTTGAATGCTCCAATAAAAAGACACAGAGTAGCTGACTAAATAAGAAAGCATGACTCAAAGATGTTGTTTACAAGAGAAACACCCCACAAAAAAAGCTTCACATAGGTTGAAAGAGAAGGGATGGAAAAAAATCTTTCAAGCAAACAGAAATCACAAAAAAGCTGGGGTAGCAATACTCATATCTGATTAAGTTGATTTCAAATAAAGGCCATAACTAGAGACAAAGTAGGCCACTACATAATATTAAACAGATGTATCCAACAGAAAGATATAATCTTGGTAAACATATATGCACCCAATATATGAGCACCAAAATATATTTAAAATCTTCTGGAGGACTTCAAAGGAGAAATCAACAGCAATACAATCATAGCAGGGGACATCAACACTCCTTCTGACATCACTAGATAGATATTCTAGACAAAAAATTCACAAGGAAACACACTATAAATGAAGCGCTAGATCAAATGGACTTCGTAGATATCTACAAAGGATTACACCACAAAACTGCAGAATTCGCAGTCTTTTCAAGTGTACATGGGACATTCTGAAAGATAAACCACATGTTAGGGCACAAACTAAGTCTCTACAAGTTCAAGAAGGCTGAAATCATATCAAGCATCTTCTCAGATCACAATGGCTTGCAACTAGAAATCAACTGCAACAAGAACATGCAAAGACACTTGAAAACATGGAGGCTAAATAGCATGTTATTGAACAATGAAATGGTTACCATGAAGATGATGGAAGAAATTAAAAACTTTCTGGAAACCAATGAAAATGAACACACAACAACACAAAATCTATGGGATGCAGTGAAAACAGTTCTGAGAGAGAAGTTCACAGCACTACAGGACTACCTCAAGAAGCAAAATAAATTTCTAATAGACTATCTGACCTCACAACGTAAAGAACTAGAAAGCAAACACAAAGAAAAACCCAGAGCAAGTAGAAGGAAGGAAATGGTAAAGATCAGAGCAGAAATAAACAACATGGAGACCAAAAACAATTCAAAGGATCAATGAAATAAAGAACTGGTTATTTGAAAAGATAAACAAGATTGATGGACCCTTAGCTAGACTCACCAAGAAACAAAGAGAGAGAACCTAAATACACAAAATCAGAAATGAAAGAGGAGAAATAATAACTGACATCACAGAAATACAAAGGATTGTTAACAAATATTATGAACAATTATACAGCAACAAATTCGACAATCTAAGTGAAATGGACCAATTTCTATAAACACATAGTCTCCCAAAACTGAACCGGGAAGAGATAGAAAATTTGAACAGACCAATAACAACAAAAAAAATTAAAGATGTAATCAAGACTCTCTCGGCAAACAAAAGCCTAGGCCTGGATGGCTTCATGGGGGAATTTTACAGAACATTCAAAGAAGAACTAATACCATTCTGCTCAAACTATTTAAAAAAGTTCAAGAAGAAGGATGTCTTCCAAACTCGTTTTATGAGGCCAGCATAATTCTAATTTAAAAATCAGAAAAGACACTACAAAGAAAAAAAAAAAAAAAAAAACTACAGTCCAATATCCCCAATGAACATAATTGCCAAAATCCTGAACAAAATACTAGCAAATCAAATCCAGCAATACATAAAAAAAAATTATTCACCATGACCAAATGGGATTCATCTCAGGGATGCAAGGCTGGTACAATATTTGCAAATGAATAAATGTGATAACAACATAACAAAATGAAAGATAATAATATGATCATATCAATAGATGCTGAAAAAGCATTCGACAAAATCCAGCACGCATTTCTAATACAAATGCTCAGCAATTTGGGAATAGAGGTATCATATCTCCACATAATAAAGACCATATTTGAAAGACCTACAGCCAACGTTATACTCAATGGGCAGAAACTAAAAGCATTTCCCTTAAGAACAGGAAGAAGACATGGTTGCCGACTTTCAGCACTCTTATTTAACATAGAACTGGAAGTCTTAACCAGAGTAGTCAAACAGAAAAAAAATAAATAAAAGGGATCCAAATTGGAAAGAAGAAAGTGAAACTGTCATTATTTGCAGATGACATGATACTATACGTAGAAAACCACAAAGACTCCGTCAAAAATTCACAAGACTTAATAAATGAATTAGGCAAAGAAGCAGGCTACAAAATTAATGTCAAGAAATGCATGGCATTCTTTTTTTAAAAATTTTTTTCTTTATTGATTTTAGAGAAAGAAGAAGAGAGAGGGAG